GGTCTTTGTTTTACCCACAAGGACAAGTTATAAGATAAATAACTGCCTTAGTGGAGCACGTGATAACACCTTTGATTGAGATCGGTTTCCCTGTTTGGGGGTGTTTGAAGGATCTACATTTGTAAGTGCCATTGCATTGAGCGCAGCCATTACACTTGTAGTCTCCATCCGGTAGAGGCGCAAATAGACGTTGTGCTGGGATATTTTGGGGTGGTAAATCAGAGTTTACCAACTGATCTCGGAGATTTCTTCCCCTGCGAGAATACGACCAAGGGAGGGTCCGAAAACACATTACCGATACTGTCATCGGATCTTAGAATGTGCCAATGTTTGTGAACGATTCCCTTAATTTGTTCAGAGCACTTTGAATAGCGTGTCGTTAGAACACAAGAATGTTTCTTTTTGCGAGACTGTCCTTGAAACTGATCATGTCTCGATTTGTTTTGAATTTTCACCATCTCCTTGAATTTTCTTTGCGTCTCAGCCATATTTCTGTCGAAACCTGATTGTTTTTTTTGCAAATTCTTTTGATTCGACAGAATTGGCTGTATGGTAAACTGTTTTTCAAGGGAAGCGGGTGACAACTATCAGCCCTCAACAAACTGTTACGATCAGTAGGTGTCCTGTAAAGATCAGCGTATAGAACATAATCATCACACAAAATCAGAAGGTCAAGGAAACTGATTTGACGTGTGTCTGATTGCATAGTAAATCTCAGGTGCTCAGAACAAGAATTAAGAAAAGCATGGAATACTCTGGAGCTGTTTTGAATCACCCCACCATAGAACAAAAATATAAATGTACCGTTTCCAAATAATAATTTTAGGCAAGAATTTTTTTTTGAGAGGGTTGAAAATGAACTGTTTCTCCATGTAACCCACATACAAATTAGCATAGTTAGGAGCCATAGGGGATCCCATAGCACTTCCCTTCGTCTGAATAAATAAATAATTTAGAAACATGAAGTAGTTGTGTGTGAGTACTATTTCAGCCAATGTTATAATGCATGCACTGGAAGGTAGTTCATTAAGGTCACGTTGCAGAAGAAAATGTTCCATGGCTTCAATACTGCCCTTGATTGGAATATTCGTGTATAACGACAACATCAAAAGTAACTAAAAAGGTATTATCAGGGAGAGGATCAAGAGATTCAACAATAGAGATCATACTGCTGGTGTCCTTTACAAAGGAGGGGAGCTGTTCTGCGAGTGGTCTAATAAAAGAGTCAACGAAGGTCGATAAAGTGGCTGTTACTGCATCAATGGCCGCTACAATAGGGCGCCCTGGAGGTTTTGTAACATTCTTGTGTAATTTTGGCAAAGAATAGAAAGTGGCAATTTTAGGGTGTTGAATTGCCAAAACGTCGTCTTATTTTTTGGTGATTTGACCAGAACTTAAATACCCATCTAGGACAGTAAAGATCATGTTCTTAAATTGGGAAGTGGGGTCACTTCTGAGTTTCTTGTAAAAGGTGTTGTCAAGCAGTTGTCTATGACACTCATTTACATAAACTGTCCTATCCAAACGTAGACTTTGATCTGAAGCAATTCTTGTGATTATTGTGATTTTGCTATTAATTGTAAATGTTTGTAGGCCTATGTAGCCAAATTGTATCTATGATCATATGCTATCCATTCATGATTTTTGTATGTTCTGTTTATCTGTGAATTAACCAATGATATCAGGCCATACCCATCCATGATTACATACACCTGTGTGTGTCCTTTGACACTACATAAACTAGTGACCAGCAGTGTTTGTCATTAAACCCTGATGAAGACAGTTTGTCTGTCGAAACGTTGGTTAATAGGTTATTAAATTATTGCATCTGAAGCTCCTAGTGTGTGCAGCTCTGCTTTTCTTTATCAAGCACTATCATTGCACACAGAGTGAGTCCATGCAACTTGACTTAAGAAAATATTTACTCCTGAACTCATTTAGGCTTGCCATAACAAAAAGGGGTTGAATACTAATTGACTCAAGACATTTAAGCTTCATTTTTTATTAATTTGTAAACATTTTGAAAAACATAATTCCACTTTGACATTATGGGGTAGTGTGCGTAGGCCAGTGACAAAAAAAAAAAAAGAATCCCTTTAATCCATTTTAAATTCAGGCTGTAACAAAATGTGGATAAACTCAAGGTGTGTGAATACTTTTCCTATACCCATTAAATGTTTGGGAGCAACTTTATTTTTAATGTACTCTCCAATAGTCAGCACCTCCACAAAACATTGTTGGGTGTGCATCAGTTTATGCCTTTTACCAGACCAAGTCATCCAAACACATGAAATATGACTAATGTATTTATTGTGGTCATAATATATAACAATTAATAGTCCAGGTAAATAATAGACAGTAGTCCACTGACAGTCACATCACATGAAGTGAACACGTTACTATTACAGTCATCATGGGGGGGGACTCCAAGTGCTAAAAACGTAATGTGGAAATATCTTCCATAATTCAACTCTGATATGCAGAAATATTTGAGTCGCTGAAATTAATTTACCATAACGATATGCCATTGACATAAAACTTGACAAATATGTTAAATGTTCAGCATTGTTGACAAACATTACATGAAAAGCATTATACAATGCCATAGTGTGCAGCAGAATCACTATAATACTAGCTATATATTAAAGCCTCGGCTTTTACATGTTAAAAGTACATATTTCAATTACAAATACAAAGTCAGTCACAGCAGTGAAAGCATTTTTCCTCCATGCCTTCAAATAAGTTAAGACAATTCAACTAATTGTTCTACTTGCAGGAAAAACTCAATAAGAGCTTTGTACACAAACTGTAATAAAGAAAATAACCAACCAGGGCTACACAGTCAAATAAATATAATGTACATACAAACAATATTAACAAATGTTACATTACAACTCAAGTCAAAAATGTTGAGAAATGTTTCTTGACCCCTTCAAACGCAAACAGGGAAGAGATGGTAGTTTGCTATTACATTGTCAGCCAAATGACATCGGCATACAATCCTCATAAGGTCAAATTACTGTTAGGATTCGATGACTCAAAACTGAATGATGAGTAAGCAGCCATAGTCAACCAAGTCAAATTAAAACAATTTTGTTTTTCAAATTAAAATTAAAAAAAAGGGTCCTTTGGGTGACAAAACATACCAAAAAGAAAAACAGGGTAAAAAAAATGAAAGCTATTAATACAGTCTGTGTTGATACTTTTTCCATATTGTCATGATGGAAAGTTGTAGTTGATTGGTTGTTAATTTGTTGATATTGGACATTGAAGTACTGTAGAATCTACAGATCTCTTAGAGGCTGCATTAAAGTCCATCATTTTGTCTGCTGTGAGATTATATAGACCCAGGGGAGAGGCTGAAATATGTATCTAGATCTATAATGCCCTGAGGAAGTTGACATTTGGGCAGTACCAACGATCAGACACAGATACACACCAAGTACAATATAAAGAATTACAATTAGAAATGCCAAACCTTCATCGTTTTTAAAAACATTACCATATACTAAGTTGGAAAAACTACAGACAATGACTTTGTTATACAAGTCTCACACATAGTGATCCACAGTCCAAACCAAGGAGGGAAACATGGCCCCAATTGAATTAAGTTTCTGACAATTGATTGAAAATGGGCATAGGTTAAAACACTGAGGGCTCTAGTCGATCCGTATCGCGGAAGTTCAGTGTTACAGCATGATTGAAATTTAAAAGGCAATGTTTCCACGTTAGCGGAGACTGCATTCATTGTAAATGCTGCATGTCGGCTCAATCAAAAATGACCTTTAAATAGCGCCATTAGTAGACTACAGTATACTACTTTAATCAATTTCATCAACAAACATTACTAGATAATGCTGAGGGTTTGCAATCAATATGCCAATCAATAAATTGGGAACAATATTAGAAATCTCTAAAACCCTGTATTGACCTTGTTATGCTAGTTATGTGTGCTCCAATAGAAAGAAATCAAGAACATTACATTAAAATTATACTTTAGATTTTTATGTTTTACCAAAATAATTATATCTGGAGTTTCGAAAAACATCTCTTGCTTTTGACATTCAAGAGGTGATGGTGGTTCTCAAGTGCTAATATGCTTTGACCTGCTGCGATGAAAAGTTTGAATTTGAAACCAAAATAACATTTTTGGTGGAAACCCCTTCAAAATGATCTCAACAACTTCATATCATATCAAACAATGATTCCCCCTCGAAAAGTGCCGATAGAAAGAACTGAAAGTAACAGCAAAACAACAAGGTGCAAAACACTGAACATCTTCAAATACACAACTAACTATGTGTTAGAAATTACAGTACTGTGAAAACTGGGGCACAAAGGGAATCATACAACAAGCCAGCTTGTTGGCCACATTCACAATGCCCTCCATCTTAGCAGGAGAAAGGCTTGGAGTCGCAGTTATAGCGGCCTCCCGCACCTCAACAACATACACTGTCTGGATTCAATGCAGCCATTCAACACCAGTCGACAGTAAGGATATGACCCAGCTGTGGGCAGAAGAAACAGCATGGCCAAGAATCAAGCTTTTATTAATTCTCAAAGAAACCAGGCTGAACCGGGTTAGGCTGGCTGCTACATCCAGTATCTATCTCAACACTGCTACCTCATCCCTGGGCATCACTTCAGGGGTGTATTCATTGGGCACCAAACGGAAGAAATCCTGAAACCGAGAGGGACTACCTAAACTTGTCCAGTATGAAACACTTGTTTCGTTTTCCGTTGCAAAATGTTCTGCTACAGCATACCGTAATGAATACTACCCAGGTAGAGGGGGGGGACGGCTAACGACCCCGTAGATGACGAGGCCTTCCTTCACTCAGAACCATCATCCTGGAGCCGCCATCCAACTCAACCAGCCAGCCAGCCAGGGTGAGACTTTCTGGGGGAAGCGCTTCACTCATGGGAGGGAGTAACTCAACTCATCATGGTGTGTTCAGGAATACAGGTGCTCTCTAGGGTGGTGGAGGGGGGGCCTAGCT